TTTATGATGCCAACACTTCAGTAAATGCATATTATTATGTCTTCATTGATGTAATTTATGATGTCAACACTTCAGTGAATGCATATCATTGTTTTCATTGATGTAATTTATGATGTCAACACTTCAGTAAATGTATATTATTATGTCTTCATTGATGTAATTTATGATGTCAACACTTCAGTGAATGTATATCATTATGTCTTTATTGATGTAATTTATGATGTCAACACTTCAGTAAATGCATGTTATTATGTTTTCATTGATGTAATTTATGATGTCAACGCTTCAGTAAATGCATATTATTATGTCTTCATTGATGTAATTTATGATCTCATAACACCAAGTCTCTATATATTTCATAGTGGCCAAGTTAACCAAGTTATTTCTACATCAAATTGAAGATGAACCATTGATTAATATTAAACAATGCAATTATGCTATCTACAATTTTATTAATGATCTTAATGATGTTAAGGTAAAGTATTATGCATTACAATATCTACATTATTACTGGATTTATTTCATTTCAAATATATATTGTATTTGCCTTATTAGAAGTGTATCTCCAATAGTAATACACATAAACCAAAAAAAATTGCATTATTTGTATGCTAGTTCATTGAAATACGTTTGATTTTGACCATATACTTATTTATATCACATTTACATATTAAGCATATGTGCTTTTAATAGATCAAATATGGTACCTTGAAAGTTAGGTGTACTGGGTTGGCATTACAACACAATTTGCTATAATAAACAAGATGGCAGATTTGATGAAGTACTCTGACAGAAATATCATGTGGCACTGTAATCCATCAATGGTCTTTTCAAATAAACTATAATTCTGTTGTATTTTTTTAGTAATTCAGACTGTGTCTTTCATGTGAAATGGTGTTTTGTTTTTTTTTTGCTTTTTTGCAGCAAGTTCGATCACAACTGACTTATCTGAAAGCATATTTATTTACATGTAAACAGTCTGTGGCTGAGGAATTACGGCGACGGGTATGGCCTAAGGAGTACATGTTAGATAATGTCCATCTCTATTCAGTTACAGTAAGTTTTACCACAGGAAATTGATATTATATTCATAAACATGTCTAGATGTCGGGGACAGTTCACCTGTATGGTCACTCAAATGTTCTCAATCCAGGTCACCAACCAGTGTCTCATTCATGCACGAAATTCAGGGATTATATCTATTTGGTGTGATCATTATTTGTTGCATTGTAGTGTTGAATATTTCCTGGTATCATTTTTTATCACAAAATGAAGCCACATATTTTTTCCCCCACATTTTTTCAAAAGATAAATATCTGTAGTTAGTGCGAAATTGATACAGTTGATACACAATTTATGAAAATACATAAAAAATGGACACAATTTTGCAGCAAAATTTTGTCAGGAAATATTGTGGCCTACAAAGGATGAAATTACCGTATACTACAGTGTTGTAGTAAGTTTTACCAAGCTCTCAGGTATGCATATCATTATGTCTTTGTTGGGGTAACCTACTTTTATTAGCACCACATTTATTTAGGCAAAATATTTTTTAGAGAAAAAAATTCACAGCGACGAACTTTCAGAAAAGCTTTTGTAGTTTTACTATGCAAACTCAGATATGCAGAATATCAATATACTGTAAAATACTTTATTTTAGCTGGAATTAATATTCTCTGAAAAAAACTTTTTGAGTCTTTTGTATGGAATCTATTTTCACTGATTTTTAACAAGTTGAATGTAAAATATAGGAAAAGTAGTGTATTCGCTGGATTTTATTTTCACTGAATCTTCCCTTCAGCGAAAATACTGAAAATTAATTCCAAGCGAAAATAAAGTGTTTTACAGTCATCAACTGTATTGATTTAATTATAGGATCTTATACAAGTACAAAGTGGTCAGTTACTACCGCATCTCAAGAAAATCATCAATTTTGCTGCTAAACATGTTAAAAACTGTTCCCTATGCAGTCAGAAAGGATTCATATGTGAAATCTGTGATAGTCCTAAAATTATCTATCCTTTCGACTTAGAGCTCACTGTCAGGGTAAGTATTGATTCTTGTGTTTCACATATTTCACTTACTTCCTGCTTGAGGACGCTGTTGTACAACCCCACTGGTGTAAATATAAAGTATGCTTACTCAAAAGTAAAAAAAAAAAAATTGTTGTAACAGTGTAAGGTGGTGAAATAAAAATGACAAGAATAAATCTATTGTTTTTTAGTGTGATAGATGTAAAACGGTTTTCCACAAGACCTGTAAAACAGAATTGGTATCCTGTCCAAAGTGTGACAGACGAAGGCTACGCCATGTCTCTGGCAACCGACAAACTACACAAGTTGATTTTGCATCGCCATGGAGTTGAGTGTCCTTTCATCACGTGTTGGACCAACATTGCTCACTATCACTGCCTGAATAATTACTACTGTCTTTATGCCAATGCTCACAAACTTAAAGTGCATAGTTCAGGATAAGTTGTCTTTTGTAGTTTTCAGTGCTCAGTTTTGATCAATTGTGATGAATAGATCCATTTTTATTTAAATATTCAAATATATTTAAAACATATTTTATAAATTTCAAATAGCATTTGAAAACTACTTGAACAATCACACAGCTTTATTAATCAACCAATAAAATTGAAATAACCCACAAAGACTCGTGCGTAATGGTGTTACCAAATGGTTTCACTAGTCAATGAAAGCATCTACTTTGGATTTGGATGAGGCATAAGGGTTTTATAAATAATATTTTTAAAATTTTCATTATAAAAAAACGTTCATGTCTTTATGAAATTCACTGTGCTTTTGTTCAGGTTTTGTATTATCGGTATTGTACATGTATTGCATTGTTGTAAAGGATGTAATATACACTCACATCGTGACCACTGCTTGTACAGTATTTATATACTCTAAGGAGCGAGGATATATGAGGATACGTATGTAATGCCAAGAGTTCTAGTCACTGTTTTGTTAGAATGTGTGACATAAAAATGAAAATCAAAGTAATCTACTTTCATATCTGTTTATTTGCAAGAGGAATATTGAATGGCGTGTTTAATAATCCATTCACCATTGGTTTCTATCATAAAAAAGTCTCATCATATCGCAAAATGTCATTTGAGTAAATGTGGAGAAAGAAATGAGTACATGACATGAAAAATTTAAATGCTAGTCAGTTTTTAGTGAAAAGATTGTTTCAAAAGTTTGTGCAATTTTTCTCCAATATATTTCATGCAGTTGATGACATATGTCCTAATTAATAATTACATGAAACTTTTGTTTCAAAAATTGTGTTAATTTTTTCTGCCCTATTTATTCGCTTGAATGCCCAACAATCGACCACACGTGTGAGCCCAGTATCTGCGCATGTGCAATTCTTTTAACTTTAAAATTGTTAGAAAAATGATGTTCTGTATCTTTCTTGTCTGTAATTTAATTGAAAAATGTATAGTTCTGTCCTTGTCGTCGTCTCTCATAAGCTCAATAACTAAAAATTTGTGTTTGCTTGTTATCTCTGATAAGCACACAAGGGAGGTAATGAGTTTGGTGTGTGTTTGTGTCTGTCTATGTAAGCAAAATCTGAGTGGATTTTTATCAAATTTGGTACTAAGGTACCTTTGAGTAATGTGTAGATATGATAAATTTTGGAGGGGGAGTTCATTTCTGTGCATATTAAGCAGCTAATTTGCATATCATTTCAATAAGTGTAAGCAAAATCTTCAGAACAGATTTTGATCAAATTTGGTACATAGGCACCTCATGATAATGCACATTAGTTTTATGCCTATGTCTATGCATATTAAGTAGTTAATTTGCATATCTCATTTCAGTCTGTGTAAGCCAAATCTTAATATTTTCAGAACAGATTTTGATCAAATTTGATATATATTGGTGCTGAACATCCGCTGGTTGATGAGCCTCTAATGTCATTGCTTTTTCACTGACTGTTTCATTTCCTAGATATGTTTTTATAAAACAACAATAATTTCATATTTACACAGGGCTTTGCAGAGTTTAACTTTGATTTTAAAACTTGAATGTATAATTACCAGGAATAAAATGTTTGTATGTGTAAGTGATAGTATTATTCAAATTCTAACTGTGTTGTTTTTTTATATTTAAGATATTTTTTTATTGAGTCATTCAAGTCTCTTAAAAGATACATTTCAGTTTCACATAAATCTCATATGAAATACCTTTACATGGCCAATACAGTCAGAAATTTACCCCATTTCTTAATATGTGCATTTAATTTCCCTTTTTTGTTGGCAATAACATATTCAGTGTTCTGAATATTTTGAACAAATGGTTTAAGATGTTTGAAATGTGGAATTTTTCCTTTACATTTGCAGATATAAATAAAACGCTTAGTTACCAATAACAAAAAATTAAGCAACAATGACTCATGTGGGTCTCCCAGCAGAATTGTTTCATCAGATAAAGTATTTCTCAACCCAATATGTTTTCCCCATCGCTCAGAAAATGCCTTCCAAAACAACTGAACAAGAGGACACCTTATCATAAGGTGCATAATTGTTTCCACATCCCCGTTACAAAATGTACACATTTTAGATTGGCAAATCTGGGGCAAAATTTTATTTAGTTTTACATTTGTAATTATTAAGCTGTGGTTCATTTTCTATTGAAATTCCCACAATTTAGTATCTATTGTTATTTTGAATGGTAATTTGTAGATAGTTTCCCAGCCATGTATTCTCTCTCCTAGCAATTCCGAAATGACCTTCTCTGAGCGTGGGGGAATAAAACTTTGTGAAACAATACCCTTAACAACTTGCTTTGCTGTACATTGATTTAAGTTAATATGCAAATCAACAAACTTCACCAGCATGTCTGATGAAAGGCTGAATTTAGTGCATATCTGTTTAGTATCCTTCGTAAATGTAGTGAAATGAGCATTCAATGAACATGTTGCACTTCAACTCAAGCTCAATGTGAAGTGCTGCACTACCCAAAGAATTCCCAGAGGCTAAAAATGATGCTGTGTCTACTATTTCACATGGCAAGCCACTCTCTGCATATTGATCGGTATAAATTAGCCAAGCTTGTTCCTTTTTTATGCCTTCAATAATTGATTTTCTGTTCTACTGTGAGATCTTGTGAGTTGCCTGAAAGATGCGTGTCGAACGTCTGCTGCAAAAATCAAACGATTTGATTTTGAACTCTAATTTCTTTATTTCGTAGCTTACAGCAAAAGGCCGATCATTGACAGGGGAATATTGCGTTTGAACACCCTTATTTATCAAAATTTACCATCATCAAATGTTGACAGCACATTATTGAGCATGGAAATATCCCCCAAAATACTTGCGTGTTTGTCGAATCCCACGTCATGTTTGTCGGCACTTAACCACTATAACCTTTGTTTGTCTCGTTTCAAGTTGGATTTAATGCATAACGTGGGATTTCACAGTGAATGGAAAATGGTCTAATGCTGTGAATACAAGTCAGTCGAGATGTACCATTTTCAGCCTGCCTCATCAAGAAAGATTTTCCATTGTACGCTACCTCTAATCCTTACTCAATCTCTCCCCATACTCTTTATTGTGCCCCAAAAAATTGTATATCCAGTCCTTAGGACATCTATAATTATCTGGAGGGACATATACAGTTTGGAAGCTGGAGGGTTTGAGTTAGGGTAAGGGGTAAGGGGTACAATGGAATGACTTTCCGCATAGTCATTATAGCTGCTGTCCTGGAGGGAGGCACTTGGATTAATTCTAACAAACCTTCTAATACCAATGTACATACTAAAATTTGCTGCCAGTCTCCAGCTTAAAATCATGTAAGTGTGATGGATTTATGTGTTAGATTCTGTTGATGACAAGCCACCAGTCCAGTTTCACTTATTGCACACTTTAACAATTAACAATTAACCAGAGAAATATTTGTTTACTTGGACAAATATATCTGCCAGATTTTGTGCATGGTATCTTTCCATGAGTGATTTGATTCTACAGTTGTGTTGTGCTACTGTATGCAATCTACCAGGCTACCTGTTTCTGATGAAGTCTGTCAGTCCAAGCTTTAACACTGAAGTGGCTCATATGGTAACTTCTTATTTGGATGCTTCATGAGTGAGACTTCTACTCATATTTACCTCATTTAGACATTATCTAATGAAATAATGCTGCTACAAATCAGTGATAGTAATTAGCTAGGAACAACATAGAAGTAGAAGTTTCAGTGTTTATCAATTGCTGGTAATTACTTACTTACCCACCCTTTCTCTCAAAGAAGCACCCATCAGCAGGCATTAGATTCAACCCTGGGGGGAAAAGGCAAACTGTTTTCAGAAGGGGAATCTCCTAGTATACCTATCTGTGCTGGCCAATTTTAGTACATTTCTACAACATTTATTGACCTGGTAGATATGAGTAGTGGCTATTAACTATGTTAAATGTGACATTTACTGAACTAGTAATACAGTCTGACCTTAACCTAACTCTTGATGGTTCTCGACAATGAAGGATTGGAGCTATTTTTGACTTATTTTGATACTCTGTATATAGGTACTTTAAGTGGACAGATTTGTTCATTTTGTGGCAATATCTTCGATTCTCTATATTTAGTAAATATTTGTTTCGTGTGGGGTTAAAAAATGTTGTTTTTGACTTACCAGCTCAATTGCTTTGATACTTGAATTTGTAGGGTCCATGGGTTGATCTCTATGAGATTTGATAACAATTGTATTTGACATTGCAACAACCAACTACAATGGTTGTGCTATGGCAAGGACATTGTGGGATCAAATTGTTAATATTTCATTGTGCAGAGCATTATCAAATTTGTTTTGAGGAAGGCACTCCACAAAGACAGGTGAACTATTTCAACTGGTCACTTGTTTACTTATTTACCAATGTGATTATTATGAAACCAATTACTCCAATGTTGATATATGGTGGATTGAAAACAAGCTAAGCCATGTTAAGTTACTCTGGGACTGTACTGTTGGTCATTGAGTTGTAAACTACCAATGTAATATATTTGATAATTTATTAGTGACTGGTCTAATTAATCCAATGTTTTGATTCATGGTTTTTAACATTAAGATAAGTTGGAAGCAGCTGTTGTTTACCTGCATTTCTCAATAGACCATTTTCCGTACACTGCGAGAATCACGCGTTATGCGTGAAATCGAACGTAAAAACAGGACAAACAAAGGTCATAGCGTCGTAGTCGCGTCAAACATCGCGTGGGATTTGACAAACGCGAAAGTATTTCGGGGACATTTCCATGCTTAATAATGTGCTGTCCACATTTCATGATAGGCAATTTCGATTAAGTAAGGGTATTCGGAAGCAATATTCCTCTGTCGAAGATCGGCCGGTCAATGTAAGCTACGAAA